AAAAAGGAGTTACATGCCATATATGGATTATATATTATTACTATTACCCAAGAAGACCCAGTATCTCAATTAAAAAGACCCTAATCCTTTTAAATTTGCTGTGAGTAAAATCATTACTTACAGGGGTGACAAATGAATTGCTAATCATGTAATTACTTCAGTACAGAAGCCCTAGAATAAAAATGGCTTGACATCTAAATGAGGCATAATAAAAACTTACTTAATTTAATAAATTGCTTTATCTCCAATAATTATTTACTTAAAACCAGAATTTGTTGAAAATACCACATTAGTTTTAACAATGCCATATGAAGTAAGTGTGCCATTAGAAAAAATTAATTTACAAGATGACACCTTTTTTTTTGTTAATAATGAGATATCATTATATGGCACTTTCTAGCCACAGACACCCCAAAGGATTTTTACAAATTATAGGCTAGTGCATTAGAGCAGCCATTTAAGCAGGAATATTTATGGGATGAAATTTGGAAGCCGAATGATGTTATGCTTGTGAGTTAAAATCGCACAAGTCACTAATCCTAAGAACTTCTCCTGTATATGTAGTATGGGATGCTACATGTCTATTCAAAAGTATGTCCTATTAAGTTCCAGATATGTGAATCTAGGACTATAGCCTAAAGCACTGGATTTAAAGCTTTTTTTTTTTTTAGTACTATTGATATCAAGGGTAGAGTTAGTCATATAGTAGAGTTAGTCATCTACCGTGCCTCAAAGCCTTTTCTTATGCATTCACCAGTAAAACATGCATTTTAGATGCATGTTTTACATAAATTACACATTTCTTTAGCCCCCAAAATGCATTTCAATAACTCAGAGGAGTAGCTATTCCATCTGGGAGTTGCATTCTGATCTGCAAGTAAGTTCAGGAGTGTCAGATTGGGTCAATATATCACACTGGCTATTTATAAATAAAGTCTCATGGCCTTCCTGTCCAGAAACTATGAGCATTCCTAAGTAGTCCAGGTAGCAGAAACAAAACATCCATCATTCTCTTCCTTGCAGTGGGAAATATGGGACCCTTAGAATGCATAATACAAAACAATGTAACTCAATCTTTGCCACCCCTGCTGTGCTGGTATCCTCACCCTGTGCAATTCTTGCATGTAGCTCTTTCACAATGGACCCAAGTCACGGAGCAGAACACTCGTTGGCCAAAGCACTTTTCTGGTCTAAAAGACTCCAGCTGTCCCTCACCCATAAAGTTTGCATCTAGAGACAACTAAGTGTGACAAATCATATGGTGCTTACTGACACTGGGCTGCAGGGGTGGCGATCTAACATGGTTGATAGATGGTAGGGCAAGACACCAGAAATATTTCTAACATTTCAAGACACCGGAAACAAATCTTGGCCATGATTTCACTCTTATCTACTGTAATCGCTGAGCAAATATGTTAAAGAAAGAGAGACAGGGGAGCAATCAGATTTCAGGGACAGTACAAATAGGATGCCATAATACATGTCAATAGCAGCACAGAAGGAGAAAGAAGAACACACACAAAAAAACACACAACTAAAGTGTTTTGGCAGCACTTGTAATGTCCCTTCTACTGAAAAAAAAGATGCAACAGTGCTGAACTTTATTCAGAACAGGATATTATAAAAACCTTCTGTCTCTTGTCATCTGTATCAGCTTCTGCCAGCCAGCTATGCTCTCCATTTGTGTATTTAATTATTCTGTCCTATGTGAACTGCTTCAGTATATTGGATTTTAGTGCATTGATTTCCGACTTTTCAGCCCACTTCTCCAATTCATCAAATGGGGACTCTAGGCGGAACCTATCCTCCCATGTATTGGTGTTCATTCCCAGCTATATGTTACTCATGAATTTGATTAGCATGCTCTGCACTCCATCGCCTAAGCTGTTAATGAAAATATTGAACAGTGTTTGATCCAGAGAAAGCCCATGTGGGTCTCCAAATCAACTCTATGCAACTTTACATGAAAGCATTAATAATAATCAGTATACTTAAATAGTTTGCTTAAATAGTCGGAGAAATAATAGTTGGTCAATAATAGACTTGTTTAATTTTGATGGGATCTGAATTCTGTTTAGTTGCATTCCCTTGAATGAGAACGAGACTTCTATAGCAAACAGAAGGCTTGTCAAATTCTTCTAAATTATGTGCTCTAATGACATCCTGGGCTTCTCCCCACCATGAAGTTAGCAATGGCTCAGGAGAACCCGCCAAGGCTAGATGCTGCCAATTGTTTCATCAAGTGAAAAAATCTGCCCTATATGCTACAGCAGAGGTTGCCAACCTTTTCCAGACCAGTGGGCACAATTCAAATTTTGAGAAAATGCTGTGGGTGCCAGTCACATAACAGCAAGACATGACAAAAATGAGAGAGAGCACAGTAATTCCTGCTTCCCTACTTGCTGGATAACTTCACACTTACTACGGGAAGTAAGTCTTGGCGCACTGGTCCTAATTGTGGAGATCACACATAATGATCCCACAATGATGCAGTTGCTCTCTAGTAACAACAAGGAGCATTGCCCAGTGCTAGGTAAAATATACTAGGTGGCCACACAACTCTCTCTGATAGACACAAACACATATGCACTCATCACTCATACAAAGATCATAGGCACACATGCATCTTTCTCACAAACTTGCTTTGTACACACACACACCTTTACAACCAAGCACACCTCTCCCTTTCTCTTACAGACCACACATACATACATACATACATACATACATCTCTGCCCTGCTCTCCAGTCAAGAGTGTCTCTATCACAGGCACATAGCATACTTGAGCAACCTCCACGTACACATTCAGAAAGCCCACACACAGGTGAACGCAATTCCCGTTGCCAACTCCGCAGAGGTTAGTTTTAATGTATTTAAGTTTTAATGTATTTTTAATCTTTTGTTGGAAACCGCCCAGAGTGGCTGGGGAAACCCAGCCAGATGGGTGGGATAGAAATAATAAATTATTATTATTATTATTATTATTATTATTATTATTATTTTCTTCCAAGGTTTGTTGTTCCAAATTGCTTATGGGAAGAAACATGTATCTGCTCAGAGTCCATGCATGTCCTCTCTCAATACAATGAGAGGAGTGTTTGCAAATTTAGGATGGGGAAGTAAGTTAGTACACATTCCTTCTAGAGAGGTCTGTAGTGTTTGTGCTGCTTTCCATTAGAATTCATGGACAGTGGAATAGATCATAGTACTCTGAGCAGCTTCTGACAAGATCCACCCCACCCATACATTTTAGCAGAGGATAGCCTGGGAACTAGGAATGGTGGTTTATTGTCTTTCACATTCATACAAAATGTCCAGGTTGTCTATTTTCCAAGTAAAATACAATACAGTGCTAGACTATTGTATTTTAATATTTTGTTGGAAGCTGCCCAGAGTAGCTGGGGAAACCCAGCCAGATGGGTGGAGTATAACTAATTTATTATTATTATTATTATTATTATTATTGAATGTTTTGAATTTAACACGGGATTTCACCTTAAGATTTCCCCCCTACAAACACACACATGTATGTGTAATGATCTCCGGACTGTTTTATGCCTCTGAAATTTCAGCAAGAACATCTTATTTAATTATTTGTCAAATTTGGATGACTGCCCATCAACATATGTTTTCTGAGTGTTTTTCAGCACATCAAATAAACTACAGCAGTACAATAAAAACAGCAAAATGCGGTTCCTTTCCAGCAGCAAAAAATAAAATAAAATAAACCAATTTGCAGCTCAAATTATAAAGTGAACTATAACTCATTTTAAAATAATGAGGAATTGGCCAGGAGTTGCTTTCCTTTACCTTGCTTGAGTTCCCTTCTAAATGTAAAAATGGAGAGAGGGAGGGGACAGATACAAGCTGTAGCAAAATATTGTTTGGGTGCACTGGTGAAGCATAGAAAGTTGGGTGATTTCTCATCATATCACAAAAGGCCCTTCAAGAAATAGGGTCTATTGTGGTATGGGGAGAAAATCATTCATTCTGTATGGTGATCCAAGTGTATTCACAAATGGCTTGCCATAAGGAATGACTACGTGAGACTTGCCTCCATGAATAGCAGACATTAGGCAGTACCAAGAAGAGGTATTTCCTGTTGTGCTGTCAGAACACTGTATACCATGGCTATCCAGATATTGATGAACTCCAATACCCATCAGCTCTAGCCATTATGGTCAATGGTCAAGGATGCTGGCAGCTGTAGTCAGACAAGAAGTGGAGGGCCACATCTTTCGGTTTTCCAGCACTGTTATTGGAGGATGCTACAACTAAATGCAAAGCCATTTACACTAGTGAAAAGTCAGCACTTAGGCAGGGGGCCAAGCAGTGCTTTTTTCTAAAAAAAATTAATAAAAATGTTTAGGGGTACTCTCATTTTCCTACTCATATTGAAATGCTGCCCCTTAACGAGGCCAAACTTAGATTCACAAAATGTTTAGGGGTACGTGTACCCCTGAATACCCCTAGGAAAAAAAGCACTGGGGCTATGCATATTGCCTTTTCTGCTTGATCTTCTCCTGCTCATTCTTCCTCCAGCAGCCACATCGCTGAGGAAGCCTTTATTACTAGGTTTAATAATGCCAACAAAAGGGGCTGGTTGTAAGAGATTGGGAATGGATGCTGATGCAACATTCACCGCGATCACTCAATTATTATGGAATTTCACTGTAAGGAACCCAGCTTGGTTCATCATCACTCTTAAGGCTCCCCATGCAGAATTCTTGATTGGGTTGGCATTCAAGCGGGTCTGTTTTATTATAGTGGAGCACTGTCAAATGCCATTATACTTTTTCACACCAAAATGTTGAAGAATATTATGACATTCTTCAAAATGTTGAAGACTATTATAAGCAAGACAGAATTTAAATACTAGCATATTTAAAGCACACAGCAATGATTTGTAATATGAGTTGATGATCACTTATATTAAAACCTGAGGAGAATCATAGAATCGTAGAGTTGAAAGGGACCCCAAGAGTCATCAAGCCCACAGCTGTCCCTGGGTGGGCTTGAACCACCAACCTCCTAGTTAACAGCTAGACAAATTGGCCCATTGTGCCTTTCCCTCTGGAAAAAGCCCCAGCAGAGTTGGGGGAGTAAATCTAATCCTCAAAGGGTGGCAATAATTATCACTATCTAGTTTAAGCTCCTTCATGGATCACTGCCTTGTCATGGCGAAGGGGCTTGTGTAACTCAGAGAAGGTATGAGCTATGCCGTGCAGGGCCACCCAAGATGGACAAGTCATAGTGGAGTGTTTTGACTAAACGTGATCCACCTGGAGCAGGAACCGGCAAGCCACTCCAGTATCCCTGCCAAGAAAACTCCATGGACAAAGACAACTTTGACCAAACTGCGGGAGGCAGTGGAAGACAGGAGTGCCTGGCATGCTCTGGTCCATGGGGTCACGAAGAGTCGGACACGACTAAACAACTAAACAACAACATCTAGTTTAAGATCACAAAATTTAGATTACCAAAACCCGAGACAAAATGGCAGTGTTAAATTGAAACCAAGAAAAACACAGAAACCACACCAGACTAGTTTATTAATGCAAGCAGCATTAATCTTAAGCTTGATATATTTCAAGGTAAAACTTCTTCATTGGTGAACGTAAGCAATTAACATGTATAATAAGTTATTTACAGTGCCGTCTTACATCTGTCAGCTCAGCAGTGTGTCCTACTGAGTTCAAGGGGACTTACTGGAGAAGGTGTTATTAATATTAGCAAGTCTCACTGCACTCCTCAGCACTCCTCCAAGGGAAAAAGTCCCAGTGAACACAGTGGGGATTATTTCCAAGCAAGTATCTTGCATGCTTGTTGATCACATTCAATGAAATTCCCTCAAATGCAGTATGTGAATTGCCCAGACAAGTAGGGACCTTTCTTAGGATGGATGATCCTGTCAATTATAGCTTCTCTCAATCTTTCAGTTCAGTTCCTCTCAAAGTTCAAGCTCACCACATTTCTCCATCAATTAGTGAAATTTTATTTTTTATCCAAATAATAATAATAATAATAAATTTTTATGTGTATCCTGCCCTCCCCGGCCAAGGCCGGGCTCAGAGCAGCTAACATCATAAAAACAACAAAATAAGCATAAAAACAGACATCAATTAATTAAAATACATCTTAAAATTAATTCAGACAAGTTAAAATCCAGGCAGGTGGCAATTGAGAGTGATTAATAACTGCCAGGACCAACTGTTTCCACTGATCATACAAGGACCTCTGAGCGGGTTGGGGACCTCCTTTGGGCTTGTTTTATACAAAGGAAAGTAATTGCATTCTGCCCAAGGCCTGGCGGAACAGCTCCGGCTTGAGCCCTGCGGAAAGATGTCAAATCGTGCAGGGCCCTGGTCTGTTGTGGGAGAGTGTTCCACCAGGCCGGGGCCATGGCCAAAAAGGCCCTGGCTCTACTTGAGGCCAGTCTAATTTCCCTGGGGTCTTCAAGGTGTTGTTACACAAAAGTTTCCCTAATATAATGCATTTTTATGCTATATGTTTTTATATGCACACTTTTCCCCAATATGTTCTTTCGTATGCATTTTTGGTTAGAGAACTGCATCACAAAATGAGAGAAGTGTGAATTTTGAAAGATAGCTGAGTTTGTTTACATATTGTTTCAAGAATAAAAAAGGCAAAGTGAACTGGATTCCTCTAGCCCTTTCCTAACCATTGTCTGGCTCAGGTAGCATAGTCCTGGCAACTTTAAATTCTCAGCAACACATACTCTCTATCTGCTCTTGATTTAGGGATGTGCAGTGTATCTTCCAATACAAATTTGTTTCTGTTCTTGCCTGCTCTCATTATTATTTATTATTTCTAAACCTAGTCTGCTGTACATGTTCCAGATGAGTAGGCAAGCTTGTGAAATTCCGGGGAGCAACGCTGCAGACACATTGTAACAATTTATATTCTGAATTTAAAAATTGAGAATTATCCATTGACTTCACCTTTTTATTGCACTTACATAAGTAGAATATAGTGCACATGTGTTCTGCGGTTACCAAGGGTGTTTCTGTATCAGCTCACTACAGCCCTCGTGGCGGCGGAGGGCAGGGGGGAGAGATGTGTCCTATTTCACACAGGGCAGTCCTCTATTTAAAGGAGTATTTGGTATAAAGATAACAAACCATAAAAGGGGAACTAAGGGCCATGGAATTGCCCACCAGCAGTTAGCATCTCAACTGAACAGGCACACAGGTCAATTGGTCATGGTCTTCCAAACTATGATGAGATATGTTTCTGTTTAAATCATTGGGTTGTACCTAAGTCAGAGTAGGCCTATTGGAATCAATCGACTTAACTAACAAGTCTGTTGATTTAAACAGGCCTCATCAGAGCATTCTTTACTCAGATACACATAATTCTTCCTAAAGCTGCATCTATACATACCAAATATCATATGCATTTCTTTATTTAGTTTACAAATCTGTGTCTTACATTTTGGAGATGCAAAAGTGGCTGCCCTATCCCTCTTTCATCCACAAATGGAGCGTTCCCTCCCTCCCTCCCTCCCTTCCTTCCTTTCTTCCCTCCATCCCTCCTTCCCTTCTTCTACTACTACTGCAACATCTTATGGTTCTGCCCTTTCTCCTAAAGGAGTCCAAGTCAATCACCCCAATGCCAAAAACCTTTGGAATCATTCTAAAAACAGGTAAAGACTTTCTTTCAACCAGTGATTTCAGGACTGGCAGGAACAGTATGAGAAAACAGGAATGTTTTCAGATTCCTTCAGGAAGTCAAGAATGAGAAAGGCAGATGCACCACACCAGGGAGGGCATCCCACAAACAGGAAACCACCTCTGAAAAGGCCCAGATACGGGTCAAGGCCAAGCAGGCAGTCACAATAGTGGCACCACCCACAAGGTGTGATCCATATTAGGAAGGAAGTGACTTCCAGTGAGTTACTTGCCCTTTTAAGAGTTGATTTGCTTTGTTCTACACTGAAAGGAGGAATTATCTGAATATAATTTGAAAGGGTTCCCCAAAAATCCCCCGCATTGAATTCCATTCTAAGATACACTGAGCTCCTAGATTTTAATTTCATTGCATTCCCCTTACCTGCCACTATCATAAATTACAATTCCCACAGATTTCTGGGTTGTTGCCCTGCTGTGGAATTTATCATGTTCCTGACAGGCTTTGAAAGAGGAGAAGCTTCTGATATAGCTTTCCTGGGCACAGGGGAGGCTGGTCCATTAGGGTGAATCATGCACTGCCCCACTTGTCGGAATGGGGGGGGGGGGGTTGAAAAGCCAGCTGGCTTGGCCCCAGCTTGAGTATCTCCCTTCAGCCTTGCCGCTGCAGAGATCCCTTGAACTCTGCTCCGATGTGATCAGTAACTCAAGCTTGCAGACTTGAGCACACTTTACGCAGCAGTGTAAACTGCACAACAGAAGAGGCTTGAGGCTGTAGACACATACTAAACTATGCATTTATTATACATAAATCAGGACAAAGAAAACATGGCATCTCTCCTTGTCGTCTTCTCAGAGAGAGACTAAAAACAAAAGCTATTTTGAGAGCCAGTGTGGTGTAGTGGTTAAGAGCGGTAGTCTTGTAACCTGGAGAACCAGGTTTGCGTCTCCGCTCCTCCACATGCAGCTACTGGGTGACCTTGGGCCAGTCACACTTCTTTGAAGTCTCTCAGCCCCACTCACCTCACAGAGTGTTCGTTGTGGGGGAGGAAGGGAAAGGAGAATGTTAGTCGCTCTGAGACTCCTTAAAGGGAGTGAAAGGCGGGATAACAAATCCAAACTCTTCTTCTTCTATACAGAGCAGCAGTTCCGCTCACGCCAGCAATCTGTGCTGGAATGTAAACAGACATGTGACACGCAACAATCCCATGTCTGCAGCAAAGGGTGGAATGGAATCCCCAACACCACTAACTTCCATCTAAGCTCAGCCAGCCCCAGCCTGTCTTCTTACTTACAGCCAGTCCATGGGATGGCTCAAGCTTTAAGATATCTCCTTTGTGTTGCTTCAGCAGGGAAGAGGGTGGGAGCAAATAAGAATTAGCTGCCTCTACCTGTAGCTGGCTCTGGCCCAATAGGCACCAGCCACCACTGACTAGACATGTGCAAAAAACCTTTAGGTGGACTTCCATATTAAACTCCCTTTCTTTAAGCCCTTGACCTAGCTCCCAATATGATAGCCGCCAGATGATGTCAATGCTACTTCTCCAACTTCTTAAAGGACTTGTTAACCCTCTAATGATATCTATTGTGTGTGAACCTCAACATTTCTATATCCAAATCAATAAGTAACAGTTGAGAGCTGCAGCTTGTTTTGTCTGTTGGCTTAGGAGAAAGTTTTCTAAACTCAGCATCTTGAATACAAGGAGGGATTGTTTTTGGATGCTTGGCCTCTTATTTGCGCTTGACTCTTTCTTTTGGTAAAGAAAAGCGGCATTGCTTTTTCAATAATTTCTTTGTTGTTTTAACTTGAAAGAATGCAAGAGACAGATTAGGTCAATTTAAAAATGGGTCTTCTGCAGAGAATTAAACAGTTCTCTTTCAGTGGTGAATGCCAAAAGTAATTTTCTGGCTATTGATCTCTTTCAAATGGAATTTCTTTGAGATTATTGCCCTTCTCCATTCCTGCCTCATCAACTCTGCACAATGGGCCTCCCCAAGGATTGATATCTCACAGTTGTTCAACGGATAAAAAGGCCGGGGTTGGACCTGAATGATCTGGACTCAGATCCCAGGTCATCCATTAATTTGTGTCAGACATTACTCTTCAGCCTCAGTTCCCCAACTGTAAAATGGAATAATAACTGTTGGTAGATAAATGGGAATAATGAAGGGGCAACAACTTCTATGCATGCACCACTGTGTCTATAAGTGTGTGTTTGCATGCATTTCTGTACATGTGTAATGCTGGCAAAGAATGAGAAGGCAGATCGGTGTGACATCTCACACAGTAATTGTGCTGTGGTTATTGTAGCACTTTTGCCTGCCTCCTATTCATTGTGTAGGAAAAGGTATGGAGTAAATTGTGACTTGCTTTTGCTTTTATGCTGGCATAGCTTGTCTGAGAATCAGGTCATAAA